CGGGGGAAGAAGATAATAAAGCACCTTCCCTGCTGACACAGTAGATGAAAAGCTCAGCCCTCCCCTCCAGGAGGTCAGCTTAGCAACCCACTCCCGAGACAGACAGTCTCTTCTAACTTCTCCAGACATTCTCTGATAGTCCTGGTTTCTAACTCATTACTTTACTGAGTTTTACATAAGCTTCTCTTCCTGAGGACACTAATTAAGTAGGCACTATCAAAGGTAAACAAATAGCTTTAAAGCAAATAGCTTGAAAGTACCAGCCAATTTCACTTTCTAAACTTTCATGTCTTCAGCTTCTGCAGTTTCACAATTTTCTCAGACCCACAAAATCTTCCAGGCAAAATTTCAATTACTTGTATATGAAGTAAAGACTGAGCAAACGAGGAACACTGCCCACCCCAGCCCATACACAGATTTTTAAAACAACAAATATCACTTCAAGTTTTCTTCACAAAATTTAAAAAAAAAAAAGTGGAAGTTTTTCCTGGTCACACTCCAGGCTTAACCTCCTACACTAAATCTTGGCTTACTAGAAACTGAGAAAATATGACACGTTATCACTGCTGAGACACCTATCAATTACTTATTTTAGGGGGGGAAAAAAATGGCATTTATTAATCAGAACAATCAAAAGATGGAAAACAGCAACTCCTAGAGTGCAGGAGATGATCCACAGAGGATGCACTCAGAACCAAAGAGCATCTGCCCAAGCCTGTGAGTGGGCACAAAATCCCAGACTTCAAAAGGCAACAGTGTGTGAACAACCACAAACAGCACATCCTCTGAGCAAAGAAGCAACTACACTCAACAAGTCTGAAAAGGAAAATAACTGACACTATGCCTTTTGATACTGGATGAAGGTGGCTTACCACAGCATTTGCCAGATGCATTCTCTCCCCAGCTTCCCCAGCTTCCCTTTTTTTTTTTTTAGTGTTAGAAATTCCAACTCTTGCCCACCATGGAAGATTTTCATGATTTCCAGAACTAGAGGAATTCTCACATGGCTTTACTTAAACAGGCTGACAAATGGGTAAGTGGAAGTGATATGGCTATTAGATCACTGTGCGTATAATTCTGTGTGTTTTGAAAATATACAGAAAGGTAAAGGAGCTAAACTGATAATGGAAAGGGAGAAATGAGAGGGAGCAAGGAGTGGGACAATGAAGACTCCTAAGCAGGACAACAGAAAAAGCAGTCAAGAATCTGAGAAGAAAATTAAAGCAATTACAGAACTGAGAGAAACAAGAAGTACAAGGACAAACCAGAACAATATAGGAGAAGGCAAATAAAAAAGAAAATAGCCGACAGCAGAAGAAAGGGTACGACGAAGAAAGGAGAGAGAGAGAGTAGAGGAACATAATGGAAAGGAGAGAAGAAGAAACAGTAATGTCAAAAAAAGCTCAGAACAGAAGACAAGGCAAAAGGAGGATATCCAGGAACCCAAACATCACTTCCCTTGAAGATGCCTCAAAAAAACAAAAAGTGATATAAAATGTAGGGAGTCTAAATCAGTTTAGGAACTTGGGTCATTTTACATTTAAAATAGAAGAAAGAATTGTGCTCCTTTTCCAGAGCTGCTAAATCTGATCATCAAGCAGGTCTTATCTGTGCTGTTTCACACCTTGGAAGCTGAAAGCCTTTCCCACTGGAGATAACAGCATCAAGCTGAAGTGAGTCTAAGGTCACAGTCTAAGGAAACTGTTGCTCATGATGTGACTTTTCTTCAGAGGTAGAGGACTTCTGGCACACGCTGTTCTTCCTGACCTCTGTGAACCTGGCCCTGCAGCAGGCTAAGCATTTCCATCACGACACTAAGTGCTTTAGCTCTCACTAGTTTCAGTTAAAATTTGGACAAGCAGCACCTGGCTTGACCAGACTCTTGAATTCAACTGCAAAATAGTAAAAACAACTTCCCCCCCCCCCCCAACAGGCTTCAGGAAAAGCATGTGGGACCAAATTCTGCTCTCCTTTGCACTGATGGAAACAGGGGAAATCTGGGCCACAGCTTCTCTTCATGGACACAAAATGAAAAGCACCCCCAGCCTGCCTTAGCTTAACAGTGCTCCGTTTTGGAGGATGTTCTGAAACAACCAGAATAGCTACCACCCACTCAAAAAGAAAAAAGAAAGTAAACATAAAAAAACTGAAACTGCTATTTTGAGACACCTCTTTACGTAGAGCTTCCAGTTCAGGCCAACACCTCAGCACCTAAATTTGATCTCTGCATGAACTCTGTAGGAGGGATACAAGTAGTTAAGAAAACACAGCCCTTTTGGGTTTTATTGGTGGGTTTTGTTTCACCTGTTTCTTTTTTTCTGCTGAGGAAACGGTTGATAAAATATTACCAAAAAAGAGCAAACACGGTCCTCTGATGTTAATTTTCAGAGTCAGTCCTTGGAATCTAAACATCTTGTTAGAAACAAGCCTTTCTCATACTTCTTTGACTCTTAGGTCGTGCTCTAACCTCAAATCCACGCCAGTTCAGCTATCAGTGCTAAAAACATTGTAAACCATAGACAGCAGTTCCTATGACTAAAGAGGCCCTACTCTTCCTGCTGTTAGATGCTATTTTTAGTTCCTTCTGTCTAATCGTTCAATTCATCATTCATGTCTAAGTCTTCTTTTTATGTCAAGAATCTACTTACAGTAGGTTTTGTTTGGTTTATTAACTTTGCCATTTTAATTGAATGCTATTTCCCAGAAGATTCTTGGGGGGAAAAAAAATACAGGTTTTGCTTAAGTTTTGTGGTTATAAGGACAGTGTTCAGCGACTGTTTTGCTTTGGTGCTCTTGAGCAGAGCTAAGAAATTTAACAAAGCATGTGCAGAGATGTGCTTTTGGTTGCTCTTGTAATAGACACCTCCGTGGTACCAGGCATTAAATCCCAATTAGACAGCGAGTTCTCACTGTGTTCTCAGCAAAACCTCTGCTATTCCCACACTGGGGATTTCACTTGTGAGATGAAGGAGAAAAGAACCAAACAATGGCTTTACCTTTGCTGCAACCATTCTCCTGAATGCCACTTGATCACACATACTTGAAGCAGCATGAAAATGCTACTAGATGCACCACCCCAATAATATAGCCATGCTGTTATAGCACAGTGGGTGGCATCAATTAAGGTGACAGAACTCATTTTTTCAAAAGTCCTACAGGTGTTGCAGTTGAGCCAAATTTGCATTCTACCACAACACTAGCAATAGCTAAGCAAGTCACCTCCAAATTAAGTCAGCATGTATGCACCCTATATCACAAAGTGGTAAAGAGTGACAGCAAGAGAGGCTGCTGGAGCCAAAGGGAGCTAAGAGCCAGCGGGGAGGAAGAAAGCAGCTAGCAACAAGTTTTGGGGCAGAGAGGAAAAGGGAGAAGAAGGAATTCCCAAGAAGTAGTGGATCTGAGAAGAGGAAAGGAAAGGTTAGATGCTGTGGGAGAGAGGGAGCAGAGGCAACTAGGGATAAAGGGATGAGTTATGTAAGCAGCAGAGGCTGGAATAGGGAACAGAGCCAGAACTGTCTGCAACTAACAGAAAACATTCCCCTGCAGAAGCTGGGATGTAACTCAGGAGCACAGTCCTTGCAATCCCCCAGCAGCAGAGAACAGCTGGACGTCTTCTGTTTCTCATCCCCTTCTGACATCTGCTCTACGTACACGTCCTACTGCCAGCACTGATGGCATGTCATCGGTGCTGAGAGCTCAAAAACCTTGCACCCTGGATCCAAGTGCCCAAACCTTCCTGATGCTCTTGAAACCTCTTTGGTTTTGTTTTTTTTAAAAAAAATCAACACTATCAACTTTTTCCTTCTTTGCCTTTTCAAGTTAGGAAAAAATGTAACAACTGCAATAAAAGAAATCTATGGTACTGAATTTATAAAATCAAGCCCTGAAATGTTAGACAATATAAAAATTATTGTTCTTTTATTAACCTCTGTTCAGCTCCTGGATTGTAGGCATTTGGATATATTTTGCAATTATACTATCACACGGAAATCTTTTCCAGTAACCCTGGTCTCACCTAAAAACCTGGATACGTTCTACTTTGGGAAAACAATGGAGTGAAGTGATGGAAATAACGTCCAGAGAATCCCCACCTGAAATTTTGTGGAACCTGGAAGCTGCAAATTAAACATGTATTTGCAGACAGCAAGAGGATGAAATCACTGTTAGGTAGCCTGAAAGCCACATTGGAGAACTAGATGCTGTCCCCATCTCTGCTATAAAATTACTCCAAGACATACCACAAGTGACTGAAATTTGTTTACTATTAGTTTCTTGGTATACACCCTCACTGTCTCATTCTCCAAGATCTGCCAATGTGATGGATGTTCACAGCTGGACTGGAACCAGCTGCTGATGTTTTCTGAATATACAATGGAAAAAAAAATCTTGAATACTCTGGGAAAGCAGAACTTCAACCTCTCAATGTTTTAAATGCTTTTTTACAGTAAGAACATACACATACCACAGCATAATAAAGTTCAGAATGACAATGCAGCCCTTTGAGATAGATGCAGGTAGCCATGAAACATGTTTCCACTGCTCTAAACCAGGCAAGCCAGAACTCTCCTTATCCCATAAGAGGTGTGAATTGAAGCCCAGTTAAGCCAAAAAGAGATCTGGATCAGGTTAGTAAGGCTCTACTTTGGCACAGCTAGAGCCAATGGCTTAAATCAAGTACAGACAAGACTAAGACATTTTGTTCCCTTTCCTGCTTATAAACACACAGAATTTCTGACACCACAGGAGTATTTTTTAGCACTGAAGAAGTAGAAACTGGATATTGTCAGTGCATTGTTATTTTTTCCAATAATCAAAACAATTACCCAAATCTACAAGGTCATGTCTAAGAAAGATGAGAAAAATCAGAGACAGCTTTAAGCAAAAGCAAGCTTAACAAAAAAAATGACAAAATATTTGGCGGTAGTCCTTAAAATATTACCTTTGACAAAAACAAACCAGCGGCTCAAGTAGTTTTGAACCTCAAGAGCTTGTTTCCCATTTACAGTAAGAGTGGGGCTGGAGGAAGGAGTTGGTCACGAAGCGAGGGATAAGCATTTGGTGCACAGAACAGAGCAATCAGCTCTTCAACTACAAGAAAATCAGTCCCTTTCCCCATATTTTCCACTTGTCCCTCTTTGCTGATCTGGGATTTAGTCCTCAAAATCTGTCATTCAACCTCCAGCTTGAAACTTCAGCCACGTGTTCACAAACCACGAAGGCATCCGGGAGGTTACATGTCTTGTAAGGCAAAGTGCCCAAGGAGTCAGGACATGCATCAGTCAGTAATTAAACAAAAAATTATCTCCAGTTACTGACCTCTGAACTTCTTTGGAGGATTAGCAAGGTCACCTGCTTCTGGCTGAACCACACACCGGTCATCCACTAACCTAGAAAAATAAAAGTTATTACTAAAACACATTTGACATAAGTGTATACAAATGCAGAGGCATTACCTGCCACACCACAGTTACAGAAGCTCATACATTTCTCCAATTTAATTCAAAAAATACCTTAGGAACTCTATTATTGTTACTATATATAACCAAGAAACAAAAACTCTACAGTTTCCTTCAAGAAAGAGGATTATGGCCTATGCTTCAGATCTTACTTAATTTAAATCCAGTTAAAGTCAAAAGGACATTTAAAACACTACAGGTTAGCTTGGCCCTACACTTGCAAGCTGTCCTGTGCTTCCAAATTCCTGCATCCTGACTGAAGAACTTTTAAGGGGATGCACAGTAAGCAGCCTCCACACAAATTAAGAGTATATGTGGGTCTACTTACATGATCAAGACATGCAGAGTAATTTCTACAGTGACCTTCTTTTCCTACACAGTCTTATTATGAATCTGAATTGAAAATCAAAAAAAGCACCTTGGATTTTAGGCTTTTAACATTTTGCTATTCTTCTTCACCGTTTCTAACCTTTTTCCTCTGAATTAAGATTCAGCTCCAATCAAAACTCACAGGACTACATTTTCCTCTGCTAAAATGAATAACCATTTACCTAATCCACAGCAGAAAATCTGAATAACAAATCAAATAAATTTCACATAATATTTTAGAAGTTAAATAAACAATAAAATTCAAAAATTTAAATTGTTACTCTTATCACAGAACTTCCTAAACATAAATTCAGCTTCCTTTCAGGAAGCTTCCTGTAAATAATCCGCCTGTTTCAAACAATTATTCAGGAAAAATCGTGTTTAAGGACACACTACTGCCCTGCCACTTCACCACAACAGTCCTAGCAACATTTTCTGTGGAAAATTGCCAGAAAAAGCACAATTTGGGCTCAGCCAAATTACACAGTAGATGAGTTCAGTTCTCAACTCAAGTTGGTGAAGGTTTTGCATCTAGCCACAAGTGCAGCAAGATCAATTCCCCAGCGTGCCCATGAACTTTCTACCTCTAGCAAGCTGACTGCAGACAAGCTGCCCACTGTGGTTGCAGTTCCCATAAACAGAGGCAAAAATGATAAAGAATTTTGGAAGTCAGCAGCTCAAATGTCATAACATACTCAGCTGCAAATGTGAGGTGTCAGTGAGGAAGGAGTTGTGTTTTTCACAGCCTAGGTTAGGCCAAGCTTAACAAGAACAAAGCGAGGTTTGGAAAGCAGGACTTAGGAAAAGTCAGCCCTGCAAGATGTCCTCTGTCTATGATCTGAGGTGCCAAAGCTTCCTATAAACAGTACCTACAACTCAGAGTCACAGAAGAAACAGGTCTGGAATGGACAATCTTAACAGAAACTTTGCCAAAGAGGTGTTCCCTCCTCAATAAAAAACCCTTAAAGGGTTTCTGAATGTACCCATAAAGTTCAACCCTTAAGCTCTGTCCGGACGGACAACAGCATGATGGAAGCTGAGGGTAATTCACAAGGAATATCTTGTGTTCCTTGGTGACAACTTGTCCACACTGGTGACAACTGTAACTGTGAATGAAATGCAAAACTTCCATCACAGCATCAGATCACCGTAACAAAAGCCACTATAGGAAACAAGGTGTTGGTGCTGAGAACAAACAAGATCCTGCCCACTCTGAGCCAGTGAGCTGCGGCGTTCAAACACAACAGACTTCCCAGGCCCAGAAACAGACACTAAGCAATAGCAATCACTTTCCTTTAAGCATTCTCTAAAGGCACAAAGACAGGGATCACGAATGAGTTCTGCAGCTACAAGGAACCAAAGACATCAGACAAGACAAAGGAGAAAGGAGCTGCTGCTACTCCCATGCTACAGACACAGAAGGACAGCACAGGAAGATTAACTGACATGTGGCAGGACAGTGGCGTGACAGAAACATTATCTCCTAAGCCCCTGTTCAGTGTCTCAGCTTCCGACACCTTTGTTTCTCACAAAGTATCTTACAACACAGGACAAAACCCTGGCTAAGTCTGGCTTTGTCTACATAGCAGTTTTCCAACAATTCGTCCTGTATTCCAGCAGCATGTCCACCACAGAGTTCAGTAGCTGTTTACTGTGGAGGTGCTTGTTACAGAACCATAGTGAGAGCCAAGCTGCACATGATGAAAGACTTCAGCCTGTTCTGTAGACTGGAACAGAAGAGGCTCTTCAAACACAGACCACATCCTCTGATACACAATTCAAAGTATTCAAATCCCACTTTTTACACCCAGACACAAGGCAGCTGTTGGTTTGTTTCGGAAGCCTGCGAGGTGGCTGGGTTAAACAACCAGTAACCCACAGCCTCCCTAACCTGCAGCCAAGCCACTTGAGATATGTGAAACCAAGCAACAGGCTTGTCTACAGAAGGTCCTGGGCACCTGCAGCTTCTGTCAGACCATGGCACAGCGTGTTTTAACGTCACTCACTTGCTGGTTTGCATAGGATGCCGGAGTGCACCAGACAAGACTTCCCTCTCAAAAGCAGAATTTACTCTATTACACCATCACATTTGCTAGCTATGTAAATACTCATCTAAACTATCATGCCAATATTCAAGCCACTGTATCATCAAAGAATCTTTGGCAAACTTCAGAGGGTTTAATTCTTCAGCTGGACTGCAGACAATAGTGCTTTGTGCCCTCCACTGCCATTCAGTACTTGGTCAGTACCTGTCATTCAGTACCTATCTCAGTTTTTCAGGTGCTGGTGGTATATAAATAACAAAGGAGTTCTCTACACATGTATGATATGATTTTTATTCGTGCAAGTTCTTCCCTGAGCACAACAAATATCTGGTTTATGCACAATGCCTCCAAGTAGTCGTTGCGCTGCTGTAGAAATTAAGATGTACAGTAGTTCATCAGTGCCCAAGATAAATAATCAGAGAAGTAAAAATAATAATTACAGCCTTGGACTTTACGCATACTCCTTTGTATTCAGTAATTGCAAAATTAGCATCTGAAAGTAATGATGTTCATGGGATTGCTTGTCTTAGATGTCCAGTCACGCTCCCACTGAAGGCAGTGAAGTTCTTCCACTGGCTGCAGGGGAGGCAAGAGTTCCTCACCATGCTGCTGCACGCTGCCAGCCTCACAGACTAGCAGGTATTTGAGCCATTAAGACCTCACACTACCGTGTACGAAGTCACAGTACACAAGAATTGAAAGGAAAGCAATGCCTAGGAGCCAAGGTGTGCTTTGCAGCAGAGGCAAGGGAAAAACAAAGGCAGCCTCCAACTCTCGGTTAGCACTGGCCAGGGTAATGCACCATAGCCTGTGAAGTGGTCAAAACACAAAGTCCTGCACCAATCTTTCTCACTCCTTGTTTTCTCCCATCATTTGGTGCGGTTCAGTCTGTTTTTTCTCAGCACATGCAAAGCCAAACATGTATAAGCATTGAATTTGGCAATATCCTGCAGCAATGAATTCCGTGTATAAAGTAGCACCTGTGTAAATGTATTTACAAGCAATTTTAAATACAGTGCCTCTCATTTTCGTTGTTTCAGCAACAAAAGCACAGGATCAACTTCTCCCAATACTATGCATCATTTGTATTCAGAACTTGCCTAATATGAACAACTTCAAACTTCCCATACACCTTCTCATGTTGCTCTGGGCACTAGGCACAAGCAGGGAAACAGTAACTTTCAGCACCCCTTAAATCCTTCTACTGGGTATAGCAGCAGCCTTTGTAGGGGCTTTGACTGAAAGCAAAACCAGAATGAGTCTGTGAAAAATCAGGGGGGACTCAGTGTATTTGGGGAAGCAGGAGGAAGGATGCCCTGATGGGAGGAGCAGGGCGAAGTGGCAGCAGTGTAACTGATAAGGTGGGTGTGCTGGCAGAAAAGACTAATGATACCTGGGTTCACAGGTATGAATCATATATGCTGGATGAACCCTCATGTCCTACAAGCTCATCCAATTACCTAACACAGGCCAAAGGTAAATACACCAAACATTTCTAGGAACTTGCAGATGTAGCATGAAGGTCAAGGAATAGCTGTATAGTGATAATCCTAAAAAAAAAAAAAAATGTTCACAATGAGTTTTTTAAAATTTACTACTGAGGTATCAACTGCATTCTGGAAAAACAAAAACCAGTGTAAGAAAAACAGAAAAGGAATGATGATGGATTTCATGAATCTTAAGACTCTTTCATAAGATGCTTTTTAAATTGTCCAAGAAAGCAGCCACACGTTGTTCATTTATTCTAGCTTTATGCCTTCAATTTAAAAAAAACAATCCTGAAATGCACTCACTATGTCTCTTCCTACCAACAGAGGCTTCCACTTTTTATAGCCCGTATTATTAAGCAAAGCAATAACTAGCCAAACACACAAGGCAAAATACACAAGCACACAGATTCTCATACATGTAACAACACATACACACATGTGTGTAACTTCTTAAAAAACACAAGCCCCAGCTACTCATGTCAAACTGTTATAATACATGGGGATGAGCAGAACTCAGCTTGGTACTCTTTATACATACATGGAGTATTTCACTTCTCAAAAAGATGAGCAAACTAGTCTAAAGGCAATGTCTTCAATTTAAGACACTCTCAGTTGCTCAGCTTTTACTCACCTAGTAGTATCACCATTCCACTAATTTTCTGAGCAGCACTAGGCTCGACAGCAGCAGTTAGAGGGGGCAATGCTGACAACAGACATGTTGTCAGTGTGTTGTAAGAGGAGCTGGACATCTTAACTGCCAGCAGAGCCATGCAATAGCTTTGTTCAACATCCATGCAAGCAATCACGCTGAGGTTACATCCCAAAGACACATAACCTCAATAGCCCCTCATGAGCAGAGGACCAGCCCTCAAAGCCTCCTTTCCTTTGCTCCTCAGATGTCCCTTCATGTACACAACCTACCACCCTCCTTGTCAGAAACACTCCTCCAGAGCACCTTCCACCTAGCATATTTCTCTCCTTCCTAACTGCCGCTCTCGCTCACAAAGCCTCTCCCACACATCCCAGC